TTTATTAACGGACTGGTGGGGACAGCTTCGACACTCGGCTGACAGATAAATAATTATTCGATTACCTTCTAATATACTACAGTAATAAATATATTAATTTTACACAACCTCTCCACACACATACACTCATATTCACTATACTCACCATGAGAGGTTTCACTCGCTACACTTTAAACTTATTATTTTGTTACTTCTCTGGAAAATATGTCTGTATGCGTTGAGTATATAAAACAGCTTGTATTTTTTATAAAGAGCGCTGCACCTGAGATACAGGAGGTCTACTCTCTTTCTCCGAAACGAACTTTCGATAACGAAGTTCAAGCGAAATTTAATTTCGTCAATTTAAGGTATACTTAATTTGAACGTTAATAAACTATCAAATTGAAGCTTTCTTTGAGTTGGCCTGGAAAATCTACACCTAAATCTAAATTCCCACGACGAATAATAATATAATTAAAAACGAACCAAAAACATAGTAAGAAAAGTGCGAAGTTTCGATCGAAATTTCGTTTTTCGTTGAATTAGAGTAGGCCTCCAGGTCTCCTAGTTCAGGTGCAAATGTATTTTTATACAGTTCATTGATTCTTCTATTATTGTAAGATTTTATAAAATTCTGTGTACAAAAATAATTTTTTGGTGCCAATAAATTATTATTATTAAAAAAAAAAGAAAAAAAAAAGGAAAACAAGACAATGCAACACCACAACCTCTTAACATAAACTCTTCCGACAAATCAAACGACATGAAACAGCTAATGGAAATGTTTAAACAAATTATGAATCAAGTATGTATGTACAAGTATAACAAATCTACTCACAAACTTAATGTTAATAATGTCAAAAAATTCAATCAGCTCTAATTAGCACTATGGAACGCCAACGGCTTGTCACAACACTTCAACGAAGTTAAATTAATTCTTGAAACGAATAATGTGGATGTTTTACTAGTAACAGAATCACACTTTACAAATAAGACATATTTCAACAAACCAAAATATAAATTATACCATACAATGCATCCGGATGGCACTGCACATGGAGGTTCAGCAGTGCTAATCAAAGACAAATTAAAGCACCACGCCGCTTCTCCTTACTGCACAGAGAGAATACAATCTACTAATATAGTAATTGAAGACTCAAACGGCGAGATAACATTGTCTGCGATATACATACCTCCTAAACACAACATGAAAGCCGAGGAATATTGCACCTTTTTCAAAACTCTGGGACAACTGTTTATTGCTGGGGGCGATTATAACGCGTAAGCATTCTGAATGGGGGTTACGTCTAACTACCCCTAAAGGACGACACTTTTACTATTCATAGTATATACATATATAGTTACTTCAAGCTATAAGAGTCCTACAACTAAACGTCACCTCTACGGATGAACCAACATACTGGCCTACCGATGTATGTAATAAACCAGATCTTATTGTTTTTTTCATAAGCAAGGGACAATCATCAATAAAGTGTAACTTTTGCCTTCAAATGACTGCAGATCACTCGCCAGTAATCTTATTATTAAGCAGTGACGTTATAGGGAGGACTTTGTTAGGGCGGTGGAGTATTTCAATAAGACCATAAGGGTAACCTCATGGGATTCAACCCCATCCCAGATTGGAAAAGATAAAAAAGGTTACTCCTATCCCAAATATATTATGGAATTGGTAAATTCAAAGCGCAAAGTCAGAAAGCTTTGACACGAAACACAATATCCTGCACACAAAACCATATACAACAAAACAAAGAAACTAAAGAAAGCTCTAAAAATCAACAACAATACAGTAATGGAGAACTATCTTAAAAATCTTAATGCAACCCAGGCCACCGATTACTCTCTCTGGAAAGCTACGAAAAATTTGAAACAACCAATAACACATCGATCACCTATCTTGAAAGCAGATGGTAGTTGGGTAGAAAATGATGAGCAAAAGGCCAACACATTCCCTAAACATCTATCCGAAGTATTTACTCCAAACATCGATTATATATGCAAAGCAAGATTAATTAAATCTGAACTCGAAAAACAACATCAACTAGATCCACCCCTCAAAAGATTCAAACAAGAAGTATTAGAGACCATTAAAAAATCGTCATTCACAAAGCACCAAGGTATGATCTAATTACAGCCAAGACTCTGCGAGAGCTACTAGACGTCGGTATCAAATTTCTTACTTATGTCTACAACGCATGCCCCTGGAGAAATTTTGTTCCACCACAGTGGAAGGTTGCAGAAATCATCAATCATCATAATTCCTAAGCCCGGAAAAGACCCTACTGACGTCAAATCCTACCGTCCGATCAGTCTTCTCTCATTTCGGTCTTAAGTCTTAGAAATTCTAGTACTGAAACGCCTCACACCAGATATCAAAGTTAACAAGCTTATCCCGGATCACCAGTTCGGTTTTGGATAAGGTCATGCCACAGTAGAACAAGTACATAGGATAGTAGAAAAAACTTTTGAACGCAAACTGACCTGCTCTACTGCTTTCTTAGATATTTCACAAGCCTTCGACCGTGTCTGGCTCGATGGACTTTTTTATAAAGTCCTCAAAACTTACCCATAAACTTCTATTTGTTTATAAAGTCATATCTCAGTTACAGACACTTCTATGTTAAATATGGCGACTGTAATACAGGCCTACAAAAAATAAAAGCAGGTGTTCCACAGGGCAGCGTAATGGGTCCAATACTCTATCTTATATTCACCTTAGACTTACCAAATAGACAAGATATAATGACAGGAACATTTGCTGATGATACTGCCATATTTGCTGTTGATAAAACACCTGAGGAAGCATCGGCAAAATTACAACAAAACCTGAATGATATCTCAGACTGGCTGAAAGACTGGCGCATAAAGGCAAATGAAACCAAATCAGTTCATGTCACCTTTTCATTAAGGAAAGATACATGCCCAGAAGTCGAATTAAATCAAATTAAGATACCCCAGGCAGATGAAGTTCGCTACTTAGGAATCTACTTGGATAAACGTTTATTTAGACATTTTTATTCCAAATTCATAAAATCCAGCTTAATGTCGACAAGACATATCGCAGGAAAGAAAAGGAGACTTAAAAAAACGCTTTTGGTGAAAACTTACCTTCTTTTGGCCTAAACATGGTCTAATTTCTTTATTCAATTTATATGTTTTCCCCCTTATATTGATATTATATCGAAAAAGTAACCTTATTTTCAATCGAAAAATTTGCCGTCAAAAAAAAAATAGTTTTACATAAGTTAGGAATACAAAAAATATACATTACCACCGATTATTTTACCTCAGGAAAGTGAGCACCCCACTTTTTGAATTTTATTATTATCCAGGTTGTTCTGGATTTGTCTATGTTTGTTCTACATTGTTCCAGAGTTTTATTTGAAAAAAACAAAAAATTAAAGCTTCTGGGCAAAATAAACTTTTTTTATGGTAATCCCCCACTATTGGAAATTCAGTAATTTTTTGGATGTTCCAAGTTGTTAGTTGTTCCTAACATAAGTTTTATTTGAAAAAACAAATATTTGAAGCCACTACGCATAACAAACGTTTTTTTTGGTAGCCCCCCATAAAAAAAGTTTTATTTGTCTAGTAGCTTAAAATTTTAGTTTTTTCTTATAAAACTGGAACAATGTAGAACAAACATAGAACAATCCAGAACTACCTGGATAATAATAAATTTCAAAAAGTGGGGGGCTATCTTCCCTGAGGTGATAATTTTCTCAGAAAATTCAAATGCGTCGTCGAGGCCCTCGGCTTTTTTTTCACTGAACCTCAAATTTTCTGAGAAAAATCAAAAGAACCGACTTGGTTTTTTATAAAACACTTACTAAAAAAATATTTATATGAATTTTCTAGATAAAAGATGTAGTTCTTCCGAAAATTGCGATGAACCCATTTTCCCACCTTGAGTTGAAAATCGTGACGACGCATTTGCATTTTCTGAGAAAATTATCCCCAGTAATGTATATTTTTGTATACCATCAGAAAGGAGAGGTTCCGAATAACAATTAACGCTCCAAATTATTTGACGAGACATTTTTCGATTGTAAATAAGGCTACTTTTTTGATAACGTATCATTTTAAGGGGAAAACATAAATTTCGGGAATTGAAAACTTAAGAGCGTGTTTAGAACATAAGAAGTAGTTTTCACAATATTTCAAAAAAAAAGTGTTTAGTTTTACTAGAAAAAATTCCACGCAGACCAGGCAGCGGACGGGACTCGAACCCGCACCTTTCGCAATCCGGGCGAATGCACTGACCATTATGCTACCACGGCCCTATTGGTCGTTTTTTCTAGTAAAACTTTTCCTTAGATTTAAACATCTAGCAGTTAAATGCTTAAAAATAAATAAAAACATAACTATAATTGCTATTTCTTCTTTCAAATGTTTAATACTTGAAATAGTATTCATTTGACATTGTGGGTTACCTAAAATGCGAAGAGATGGCGCTGCCTTGCAGCTTAAGGCTAGGAAAATTTCGACGCGGCCAATAGGGCCGTGGTAGCACAATGGTCAGTGTATTCGCCCGGATTGCGAAGGGTGCGGGTTCGAGTCCCGTCCGCTGCCTGGTACTCGTGGATTTTTTTCTAGTAAAACTTTTCCTTAGATTTAAACATCTAGCAGTTAAATGCTTAAAAATAAATAAAAACATAACTATAATTGCTATTTCTTCTTTCAAATGTTTAATACTTGAAATAGTATTCATTTGACATTGTGGGTTACCTAAAGTGCGAAGAGATGGCGCTGCCTTGCAGCTTAAGGCTAGGAAAATTTCGACGCGGCCAATAGGGCCGTGGTAGCACAATGGTCAGTGTATTCGCCCGGATTGCGAAGGGTGCGGGTTCGAGTCCCGTCCGCTGCCTGGTACTCGTGGATTTTTTTCTAGTAAAACTTTTCCTTAGATTTAAACATCTAGCAGTTGAATGCTTAAAAATAAATAAAAACATAACTATAATTGCTATTTCTTCTTTCAAATGTTTAATACTTGAAAAAGTATTCATTTGACATTGTGGGTTACCTACAATGCGAAGAGATAGCGCTGCCTTGCAGCTTAAGGCTAGGAAAATTTCGACGCGGCCGATAGGGCCGTGGTAGCATAATGGACAGTGCATTCGCCCGGATTGCGAAGGGTGCGGGTACGAGTCCCGTCCGCTGCCTGGTCCGCGCGGATTTTTTTTTTCTAGTAAAACTTTTTCTTAGATTTAAACATCTAGCAGTTAAATGCTTAAAAATTAATAAAAACATAAGAGGTGTTTATTTTGTGGGAGGTAATAATAAAAAGCCAATAGGTAAGTTACTTTGCCCTCTAGTTAAGCCGACCCCCAACAGGTTCCAGTGGTCTAGAGGCTCCAGACGGAGAGAAGACTCCCCAAGCGGGGAGATGTCATCCGCCTGGAATACCTCTAGAGGCACTCGCCAATTCTCGCCTTGAGGTACCCTTGGGATCTCGCCGTCCCCAAAACCCGGTGACGCTGTAAAGGTCATCTGCGACCTAGTGTGTATGCTACACTAAAAAAAAACCCCCGCTACTGCAACACCCCCCTGCTACTCCACTCTCGGTACTGCTCAGCTTGCTTCTCACGGCGAAATCACCCCGATCGGTTTCTGTCACTTAGGTTCTAGGGCACCAAGGTATTGGGGATGGGGTTAGGGTAGATAAAGCACGAGTGATACTTTATGTTCAGTACGGCAGCCGCTTACCATCAGCCGAGCAACATGGTTGTTGGTGACCCTTTTTGACAGATTACAAAAAGGAGTGTAGTTCTCAATTCGACAGTAATTCTTAACATAAAAAACTTTCCTGATAAAAATAAAACAAAAGAAATAAAAATAGAAATTTTATTCCGATAAATAGTCCATTTTGATCCTTAGGACTATCACAGTGGTATTATGTGTTTGTAATTTTACGATGAAAGATGAAATGTAATGAAAGGTGACTTTATGAATCATCTCTGAAGTCATTTTTCAATTTGACCACTCTGTAAATAATAAAACAGGGAGAAAAAATCAGCCCTTGCTGAGTTTCTTGCCGGTTCTTCTCAGTACTAAGTCTTCCGCCGTAGATTTACGAAACGATGACGTAGCTTCTAGACATTCAGGAGTGCTTGTAATAGCCAATGATTATGATTACGGCGGGTGTTTAGTAAGCAGTTAGTTCGGTGCGCCTACATCACCCTACATTAGTTTATTTCGCTGCGCAGCTGTAGGTAAGTTCCGCGCTCTGTCACAGATAAGGTTGCCAGCCGGGGAACAGTCGGCACAGGTTGGCGGGGTCGGTGGCAGTATTAATCAACCGCGCCACTTGTCCCGGCACTGCCACGCCCCCTGCCACTCCGCCCTCGGTGCCGCTTAGTTTGCTACTGACGGCGAGTAAGGCGCGCTCGGCCAGGCCGCTGTTTGATCCCGATACACCACCTGTTGACAAAACATAGCATTCGAATAAGAAATAAAGTAACGATATTACTTAAAGAGGTGAATTTAATTTTTAAGTTTGATTAGTGTAGCCGTACACGGGCCACACGCCACAGCCACAAACGCCACCACGAGAAGCTAGAAGCGGCTACTAAAGTGGCAGAAGCGCGCGACAGCGGCCGACTAAGGTAAGGGAGGGAGGGGTGGGGAATTGTAAATATCTCGAAAACTAATAAAGATATTTCAAATTAAAAAAAGGATTCAAAAAGAGGAGGAAATTTCCAAAAAAAGCCCTGATTCCCGGAACTGTAGGACCAATATTTATAATTTTCCCAGAGGGATGAAAATACGGCCGAAAACGGGTCCTCTGGCTTGCGTAAGCCACGCCTACTTTGGGCACTTTATTAATATAAATTATTTTAACATGTTAAATATATAATTTAAGAAATGAAAAAATTCAGGGGCTTACTGGATAGATGAATGAACATAATCCACGTGAAAAAAATTTTTATCACAATTTTTCAATTAGTTATGCAATTGCTAATTAAATTTTTTTTCCGCTTGAACATGAACATTGCAAGTGTGATTATTGTTAAACTATAAGTTTGAGATTTTTTCCTCTCTTGGAGCAATTCTTGAAAGGCTATAGAATAGATCCCCGTTGGAAAAATTAAAAAAAAAAACGGTTTTTTATTAACTATTATTATTTTGATGATCATGAGAAAAATTTTTTTTTTAAATATTATTGATGATCCGTTTTTATGTTATTAGAAGCTGCATATTTTTTTTTTTAATTTTTATCTGTTATTGTTTATAAAAATGTTATAAACACATGCGTTGTTTATTAGATAATTGATTTTTTTTATGGAATTTCAATCTTTCATACAAATAATGATTTTTAAAAGAAAAAATGTTCCTTAAAAATATTTTTTTATTGCTTAAAAACGCATTTGTTAATTAACAATTATTTTTTCCCACTTCTAATTAATATTAAGGAATATTTTTTTTTAAATCATTATATTTATTTTTCTTTTCGATATATAAAAATTTTTCGTTCTATTTAATTTTTTATTGTTTATGTATACAATGTTATAAACAAATAAATTTTTATCTTATATTTTTTTTCCTATTCTAGTTACTGTCACAAAAACAGACATGGTTATTCTTGTTTAAATTTTTATTTTTTTTTATTTTTTAATATACGGTCTCTGTAATTTCGTCATTATTTCATGTCTGTTTTTGTGACAGTAATTAGAATAGGAAAACAATATAAGATTAACATTTATTTGTTCATAACAAATTGTTTATTACATAAACAATGAAAAATTAAATAAAACGATTTTTTTTTATAAATCGAAAATAAAAATATATAATGATGTTTTTTAAAAAAATTGTTCCTTAATATTAATTAGAAGTGGGAAAAAAATTGTTAATTAACAAATGCGTTTTTAAGCAATAAAATATTTTTAAGGGACAATTTTTCTTTTAAAAATCATTATTTGTATGAAAGATTGAAATTCCATAAAAAAAATCAATTATCTAATAATAAATAATAAATAAAATTATTTATTTCGGACAACAGCAGCCCATATCAATGATACAAATGCAAACAATAAATTAACATTAAATTAATTTACAAAAAAAAAACATCATCAATAATAAATAAATAAACAAAACAAGTCAATCTTTTCACATTAATAATATTTAAATAAATAAAAGAAATAAAACATGTCAATATTTACTATTAGTCAGTACATGAACCATGCAACAATGACGCATGTACTGACAGTCGATTCTGTTCGCAAACAAGCTCAGAATGCCGCTGGAACTGGCCCGAACCCTACGTACTAGTGATGCACATCGTTTCCGTATGATGGTGAAGAAACAGTCCACCTGTGCATCAGCAAACATCCCTGATGCGCTGCAGTAACGCGGCAGCCCCATCAGCACTCTGAACGCGTTATTGTATTGAACACGCAGAGCGCTGTACTGTTTCTGTGTATGGCGTAACCACAGGCTGCTAGTGTAAAAGTTAGTGCAATATGATCGGAACAGAGTACGTTTAACTTCCGCGGAGCTACGAGCACACCTGCGAGCCACCATATTGGCCCTTACAGACAACGCCCTACGTTCTCTTTCAATATCTGCATCGTCATCCAGGTCTGAGGTAACGATATGACCTAGGTATTTAAATTTATCCACAAATTGAAGAGGTGTTCCATATAATTTTATAGAAGGAATGGTAAAAGAACTTTTCCCTCCGACCTTGAAGACCATGCATTCACTCTTTTTGACATTATAAATCAGGCCGTGTTCTCGAGCATAATTCTCGCAAATTTTCAACATTTTAGTGATACCACAGACTGATGCACTCAACAAGACCATGTCATCAGCATAATTAATATTATTGACCGGTGTACCGTCAATATGACAACCGACACGGCTGCCACTAAGCTCACCAATCAGTCCATCAATATACAAATTAAAAAGCTTAGGTGAGGTCAGCCCTCCCTGCCTCACTCCGCACTCCATTCTATACGGCTGTGAGTAGGTATTGGCCCATCTTACAACATTGACCTGGTTTTCATACCAAAATTTGAGAATATTATTAAATTCTGATGGAATATTTATGTCATTTAACTTCTGCCATAGTATGTCATAACAAACCAGGTCAAATGCTTTGGAAAGATCGAGGAAACAGGCATATACGGGTGTGTGGCGGTCGGTGTAGTACTTGACAGTTTGCTTCAAGCTCAGGATAGCCGTATCATTGGAGAGGCCTGGCCTAAAACCGAATTGATTATCATGTAAGGTTACATAATCGTCTAGCTGAGCATTAAGCAGACTATCAAGCACTTTCGCCACAATAGTGGCGAGTGAGATAGGCCGATAATTAGACTTGTCACATACATCACCAGTTTTATTTTTCACAATCGGTACTACCACGGTTTTCATAAGATCCGCAGGAAGGTACGAGTGTCCGATACAAAGTGAATAGAACATCGCTAACACCCTGGGCAAATGTGGACCCGCATATCTCAGGTGCTCAATGCTGAGCCCGTCGTGACCGGGAGATTTACCGTGCGACATAGATTGAATAGCATTCTTAACATCTTTAGCTAAAAATCTAGTTCCCATCTCTCGATTACACGGACCCAACATATCACACATATTATTCGCTGAGTGAGATGAGCACCGCGGTGATTTAACAGTGAACTGCTCTCTGAACAAGTCAGCTATACTTTTTATGTCATTAACGCCGTCTACACTCACAGGGAGGCTATGTTTACCATTTAGAGACTTTGTGGCTTTCCAAAATTTACGAAAGTCATGTTTTGAATGTTTGGATGATAACATGTCCATTTTTAACTGTTCACTATGATTTTGACACCACTTTAAGCGGGACTTGAAACTTTTTCTACTTTCAATCATTTCATTATACACTGGACCTGTCCTAGGTTTTTGGTTTAACAACCATAGTTTAAATTTACACCTAGCCTCTCTGTGAGCATCCCGCACATGCCTGTTCCACCCCAAGACAGGCTTTCGTTTATTTTTTATATTAACAAATTCACTATAGCCAGCGACAGCGGCCTGTCTCAATGCATTTACAATTTGATCATACATTTGGTCAATAATAAATCTATGGTCAATATTATTACATACACGATCACAACAAAACGATAATTCATTAGGAAAGTCTATTAATTTTAATTTATCATTACATAATTTACAATATATGTCAATTTGTTTAGGCTTACGCTCACCCCATAATACCTTATTAATTCCATTAAATTGGTCAAATAAAATTTTAGGTTTTACCATGTCAAGATTACATTCTAATATTAAGGGAAAATGGTCCGACCATAGAACGTCATAATCAATCGATACGGTTAGAACAGAGTTAGCCGCTGACTTAGTAACAATGCAATGGTCCAACCACCTACTGCACCCATGTGCTTCGCTAATGTAAGTATATGCACCGGAGTTCAAACCCAAAACCTCCGTATAAGCACACACCCAATCTTGTTCACTACAGAAACATGATAGTTCGTCAAAAAATGGTTCATAGGGATGAGCATTAAAGTCTCCAAGTATACAAACTGTTTCAATATTGTCATTACTAATTATAGCACTTACCAAACTCAAACAATCCGTAAATTCCGTTATATTTTCAAGTTTATCCGTAGGCATGTAAACACTGAACACTAAGAATGACCTTTGACCTAAACACACCTTTATCGCACATATTCTAGGGTTGTCACATTTCACTATGGAGACGTTTCGAAAAATGCGTTTATCCCACAGGAGTGCCACACCGCCAAATGGCCTTCCTCGCAGCATGCCTGCCTCTGTGTCCACTGCTGATGTCCCTGTCCATCCGAAATCCTTATTGATATGACTCAGGAACTGAATATCATCAGGGAGAAGTCAAGTTTCTTGCAGTGCAATTATACCTGAAGTTTGAAAGAGCAATTGCACGTAATCAATTGAGCGTTTAACACTCTTACAGTTAAAACTGACTAACCTGTGTGTTGAACTATTTGCCATCAGGATTAAAAGCAGGGCCACGTACAGTATTTGAACTGTTCACCGTCTTTGGCTTAAAATGCACAAATCGTCGAAAAAGTATACCCTGAGGCCACAAGTTACTGTCAAGAAACACTGATAATTTTTGTTCAGATACAAAGAATTTGTAAGCTTTGTACCCTCTTTCTTTTTTAAAAGAAATTTTCTCTAGTGTTATATTTTCCTTCGTTTTCTTATATACGTAATCTCTGATGTCGGAGTCAGTCGTATCTTTATGGACTTTGGTAATGAAAATTGGCACTTTATTTACCGCTGCTTTGAACTTGCCTTCATCATCTTGTAAAACACCAGTCGTACCATGATAACGATAGTTCATTTTGGTCTTTCGTCGTTGTACCAATTTCCACTCGCCGTCGCTCCTTACTTTTTCTGCAAATGTTGTTTTTGGTATCGCGTTCTCGCAATACGCAGTGCTTGCAATGGCTATAGGTGTAGATGTATTGCACAGCTGATTAGCGGCAGTGACCGGCTCGCGTGAAAAACCAGTCTCGCGTCCAGTTAACGTTATATGCAGGGCGCCTCGACCACTCGTATTTGTTTTGTTAGGAGGGTATTCTTGCGATTTACGTTTGTTGTTGCAATTTAAGTTCGATAAATATGACAAATTGGTAAGGTCACAATCAGTTAATGACGAATTCATATGTGTAAGTCCAATGGGTCCACTATCCACACATGCACCTCGCTTCTTATTTACGTGTATATTACGAAAACGGTTAGGTGTAGAACCATTGGGAGATGTAATTTTGCTGTTCATCTCATTCCTTAAGTCTTCTAGCTCTTGAGACGTTACATATTTTGACTTTATGTCTTTCAAATCGCTTTGTAGAATCAATAAATCTTTCAGGATTTTAGTGGCATCCAAATGGTCCCATGTAATCGGTGGTAGTTTTTCCAATTCTCGGGCAACGAAAACTGGTATGAACTCCGGATCCGTCCCTTTAAACAGTGTAATTATGTCCATCATGTCGCGATTTTCTTTCCCTTGTCTTTTACTCAAAATTTTTCGTTTTTCACTTGGTAACGATTCAAATAATAACGACTTTGATTGCGTTATCTCATCACTTTTAAACGACGTAACACATAATCTCACTAGAGTATCTTCATCCATTATGGAGATTTTATTTTGTACAAACGCAAGTAACTCGTCAATTACTATATTACAAGTATTGCACTTCACAGTTGACGCCATTTTTGATCGAAATACAGTATGCGCACGATACTGTTGGATACGTGTTTTCACGTCAGAAGACGGCGGCGCACGAAATAAACAACGCATTTGTTTATAACAATTTTTTAAACAATAACAGATAAAAATTAAAAAAATATATTTTTATGCAGCTTCTAATAACATTAAAACGGATCATCAATAATATTTTAAAAAAAAATTTCGATGATTAATTTAACTTTTTAATTTTGCAACAACGATAAGGGGGCGTCCATAAATTACGTGAGATGTTTAAGGGGGGAGGGGGTCGAGTCAAATCTCATCTAATCTTATGTTGGAGAGAGGGGGGGTCTCAGAAAATATCACGCAATTTTTTTTTCTGATTGAAAAAAAATATATACTATTTTGCTCCATTTAGTCCAGATTGTACATGCTTAAGATTTAAACTCTCAGCAATATTGGTTACTAGTCTTAAATAGGTAGTCGTAAATAAAAGCACGAAGAAATATTTTTTTTCTTTTTACAATATCAATCCAACGCGTTTACCTAAGAAACCCACATTATGAAAAATCTCACGTGAGATTGGGGGATGGGGTTGAATAAAATCTCACGACATCTCACCAGGGGGGGAGGGAGGAACAGAAAATTCAAAAAAACACCTCACGTAATTTATGGACGCCCCCTGATTGTTAATAAAAAACTGAAAAATATATATTTTTTTAATTTTTCCAACGGGGATCTATTCTAAAGACTTTTAACAATTGCTCCAAGAGAGGAAAAAAATCTCAAATTTATAGTTTAACAATAATCACACTTGCAATGTTCATGTTCAAGCAGAAAAAAAATAATTATCAATTGCATAACTAATTGAAAAATTGTGATAAAAAAATTTTTCACGCGGATTATTGTTCATTCATCTATCCAGTAAGCCCCTGAATTTTTTCATTTCTTAAATTTTATATTTAATAAGTTAAAATAATTTTTATTAATAAAGTGCCCAAAGTAGGCGTGGCTTACGCAAGCCAGAGGACCCGTTTTCGGCCGTATTTTCATCCCTCTGGGAAAATTATAAATATTGGTCCTACAGTTCCGGGAATCAGGGCCTTTTTTAGGAAATTTCCTCCTCTTTTTGAATCCTTTTTTTAATTTGAAATATCTTTATTAGTTTTCGAGATATTTACAAAAAACGTTAATAACTAACTGTTAATAACTTTTGCAATTTTTGTTTGTGGAACTTCATTTTTTTTCAAAAATCATCTAGATGCCATTCCGAATCGAATGACACCTCGATCATAATTTTCGGAGACTGCTGAAAAAATTGACCAAAAAGGCACAAGTTGACTAGACTAATCAATAATTACATAATTTTATATTATAATAATTATTAAAAAAAAAAATACAGTGATAAAATAAATTCCAGTTTTTTTTGTCTAACGATTTACAATTAAGTGCAATTTTTTATGAGAAGTAATCATAAAAATTTGGACTCTGCCGGAGACTCAGTACCACCCTCCATAGAAAGTGTTTGTTGAAAGTTGATGCTGCCATTTTCTTGATACCAAAAGGATTAATAAAGTCCTTGACCCCACAGGCGCGTTTTTACCGGCTCGCAGTTGTCGCAAATTAGTTACTATGGACAAGTCGCAGGCGGAAGCTAGTATGGTACAATACTCACAAATCTTTACAGGCGGGCGCTGGTGTGGTAGTTTTATGGGCCATCACGTTACGGCACGCGTGTAAAGAGTCGCACAGAAGCAGTTCCAAGATCATCAGTAGTCTCTCGGTTGCCACGAAGTAGTTAACGCGGACGAAGTCGCAGGCGGAAGCTAGTATAGTACAATACTCACAAACTGTAGTATCTTTGTCGGCGGGTGCTGCTGTGGTATTTTTTGGGTCATCACGTTACGGCACGCGTATAAAGGGTCGCATAGCAGCACTTCCAAGATCGTCAGTAGCCTCTCGGTTGCCGCGAAGTAGTTAACGCGGACGAAGTCGCAGGCGGAAGCTAGTATAGTACAATATTCACAAACTGTAGTATCTTTGTTGGCGGGTGCTGCTGTGGTATTTTTTGGGTCATCACGTTACGGCACGCGTATAAAGGGTCGCATAGCAGCACTTCCAAGGTCGTCAATAGCCTCTCGGTTACCGCGAAGTAGTTAACGCGGACGAAGTCGCAGGCGGAAGCTAGTATAGTACAATACTCAGAAACTGTAGTATCTTTGTTGGCGTGCGCTGGTGTGCTAGTTTGTTGGATCCTCACGTTACGCCACGCGTATAAAGGGTCGCATAGAAGCACTTCCAAGATCGTCAGTAGCCTCTCGCAGTTGTCGCGAAGTAGTTAACGCGGACGAAGTCGCAGGCGGAAGCTAGTATGGTATAATACAAACAAACGGTAGTATCTTTGTTGGCGGGCGCTGGTGTGCTAGTTTGTTGGGTCCTTACGTTACGCCACGCGTATAAAGGGTCGCATAGAAGCACTTCCATGATCCTCAGTAGCCTCTCGGTTGTCGCGAAGTTCTTAACGCAGACGAAGTCCCAGGCGGAAGCTAGTATGGCATAATACTCACAAACGGTAGTATCTTTGTTGGCGGGCGCTGGTATACTAGTTTGTTGAGTCCTCAGGTTGCGCCACGCGTATAAAGGGTCGCATAGAAGCACTTCCAAGATCGTCAGTAGCCTCTCGGTTGTCGCAAAGTAGTTAACGCGTACAAAGTTGCAGGCGGAAGCTAGTATGGTACAATACTCACAAACTGTAGTATCTTTGTTGCCAGGCGCTGGTGTGCTAGTTTGTTGGGTCCTCACGTTACGCCACGCGTATAAAGGGTCGCATAGAAGCACTTCCAAGATCGTCAGTAGAGTCTCGCGGTTGTCGCGAAGTAGTTGCAGCGTCTTCTCACAGCATCTGGCAGATAACAAGAAATTGTAATCAAGACAGCAGCATGCAGTAGTTTTCAGCCGCCCCAGAAATTGAAGTAACTAGTAAGGTAGTGGCACCGATGAACGAGAGGAACCAATGATCGACTTCTTTTTCTGTGATCAATGAAAATAAGAGTAGGAAACCGATCACTTAATATGGTAACACCGAGCTATAGACGCTTGACGTTACCATATTTAATGATGGATCACATGAAAACTGAATTTTTAACACCTTTGTAGCCTAGCGTCACTTTCGTAGTACTGTACAGTAGCTTCCAAAATAATCCTGACAAATGTTATTAGCGCACCGTAAGGCATTTATAGCTAGCATCTTGTTTTCTTTTCTGCCATGTCTAATATGAAAATTATAATGTTAATTGTAAAAACCTACGACAATCTCGAAGCATACATCTTTTGTTAATTCAATACCTATAGTTAAACTTAGGACTGCTATCACAAAATGTTTATAGAAAGTATATAAAAATAAAATAAAATTAAATTAATTTAATTATAATTCTTAAATGGATGTATCTATTGCCTTGGGTATATACCTGTAATAATAGATATAAGTATTTGATATAAATAAATAAATAAATAAATAAAAGTAGGTAGTAGGAAATCTTATCTAGAACTATCGTGTAACCAACCTTCTAAACATCCCTTCTACTCCACTGCATCCAAATCCGGCAATTATATCTTGCGTTAGTCGGAACGGTATGGTTTCCGGTGTCGGCAGAGCTTTGCCTTGATCAAAAGCAATACCTGAAATCGATTAAATTAAAATAATCTTGTTATCTATTACAAAACTTAAAATGAATGGTAGTGGTTTAAGAAGAATCTCACCAAAATCTATATGTATAACTTCAGCCGTTTTCTTGTCTATCAATATGTTTTGTACGTGCCGGTCACCAAGGCCCAAAATAAATCCTACCATTGACGAAGTAGCCACACTGAAATAAAATATTCAAACTCGTTAATAATGAGGGTGAGAGCAGTATTTATCACATTTACTTTTCACCTTAAATGACATTCAATGTTTTTCTCTAGCAGGGCAAATTACTGCACAATTTTTAAGATCCTACTTAAAAATGCCCACGCTCTATATTGATTTCCCCCATCCCGGAGGTCAGCCTGTATGAGATTAGTATGGCTCTGAAACAACTTAAAAACAACAAGGCGGCGGGCGATGATGGAATCACAGCAGAACTTCTGAGAGTGGGCGGTAAGCCGATACTTAAAGTCCTCTAGAGGCTTTTCATTCCATCATCCTCGGAGGCAGAACGCCAAAAGCATGGGCCAGAAGTGAGGTTGTCCTGTACTTCCAGAAAGGTGACAAAGCACTCTTGAAAAACTATCGACCAATCTCGCTTCTTAGCCATGTTTATAAGTTGTTTTCGAGAGTCATTACGAATCGTCTCGCACGCAGATTTGACGACGTCCAACCTCCCGAACAAGCCGGTTTCCGAAAAGGTTTCAGTACCATAGACCAAATTCATACGCTGCGGCAGGTTATACAGTAGACTGAAGAGTATAATCTGCCATTTTGCTTGGCGTTTGTGGACTATGAGAAAGCTTTCGATTCGATTGAGGCCTGGGCGCTGTTACAGTCTCTCCAAAGGTGCCAAGTAGACTACGGGTATGTCGAGGTATTAAGGTACCTTTACGGAAACGCCACTATGTCAGTCCGATTACAGAACCAGAACTCTAATCCTATCCAATTGAAGCGAGGCGTGAGACATGGAGATGTGATATCTCCGAAACTGTTCACAGTTGCTTTAGATATTTTCAAACTTCTGGATTGGAAAGGACGACGTATTAACATTAATGGCTAGTACCTTTCGCACCTTGGACGATCTTAACACGATGCTCGAAGATCTTAGTAGTGCTTCCAAAAAAGGGGGTCTTAAGATGAACATGGATAAGACGAAAATTATGTCGAATGCCCATGTAGTGCCCGCTTCAGTTAAAATTGGGAACACTACACTCGAAGTTGTAGACTGTTACATTTATCTAGGACAGACAGTCCAGTTAGGTAAGTCCAACTTCGAGAAAGAGATCTGTCATCGTATCCAGCTTGGATGGGCAGCGTTCGGGAAGCTACGGAAAATCTTTGCGTCCAAATTACCTCAGTGTCTCAAGACAAAAGTCTTTGACCAGTGTGTGTTGCCAGTGATGACCTACGGAAGCGAGACGTGATCCTTTACTGCGGGTCTAATAAGAAGGCTCAAGGTCACACAGCGAGCAATGGAGAGAGCGATGCTCGGTGTTTCCCTATGCGATAGAATCAGAAATGACGAAATCCGTATGAGACCCAAAGTAACTGATATCGCTCGATCGATAGCTCTGCTGAAGTGGCAGTGGGCGGGACACGTAGCAAGAAGAACCGATGGCCCTTGGGGCGGAAAGGTTCTGGAATGCGACCTTGCACCGGACGACGCTCAGTGGGCAGGTCCCCTACAAGATGGACCGACGATCTTGTAAAGGTCGCGGGAAGCCGATGGATGCGAGTGGCGCAGGACCGATCGGTGTGGAGATCCTTGGGGGAGGCCTATGCTCAGCAGTGGGTGTCGTTAGGCTGACATGATGATGATGATGATATTGCTTTCATGAAAGGAACATGCTTCATATGCGGTAGGCGGGCAAGGACCGGAAGCGCTATCGGATAAAGATAATATACACTTCTGGACACATCTATTGGCCCACCTTAGAGTTTAGGTTTCGATGGCCCCTACCGAAATATGATTGCTAGATTGAACAAAAACTGGTGATGCAGTTTTAAACCTGATACATTTTACCATCTTTTTCGATAGTATTGTTTTAAATTTGAATTCAGAATACCATACGACATGGAGCTACGCCTAACAAGTCGGATATGCGCCTTGTTAAAGGCAACTGATTTTTGAATAAAAAACATGTTTTATCAAATAAAGGTTTAATTTAATAACGCGTGTTGCCTCCATGGGCATCTACCACAGCTCTCATACGATTAGGCATAGAGTTTATCAACCGCTCTATGAAATTTTGAGGGATCATCTCCCATTCCTCTTCTATGGCAGTTTTCACCTCCTGCATCGTCTGGGCAACTGGCTGACGAGCCCTAACACGTCTTTTTAGCTCGTCCCACATGTGCTCAATGGGGTTCATGTCTGGGCTTCTGGCTGGCCAGTCCATAACTGTGATGTTCACATCCCGAAGATATTCCCTGACGATGCCGGCCGCATGGGCTCTTGCATTATCATGCATAAAAAGGAAATTTGGGCCCACATAGTCCGCGTATGGTATCACGTGAGGTTCTAAGCACTCACGAATGTACCTTTCAGCATTTAATGTTGGCAGCCGTGGTCCTGTAACAACCTCAAGTTGAGTTTTGCCGCTCGCGGATATACCGCCCCAGACAGTCCATGAGCCACCGCCATAAGCAACCCTCTCTTCAAAGCAGCATTGTGCGAAACGCTCTCCCTTACGTCGGTAGACCTTCTTCCTTCCATCATTACAATGTAACACAATTTTAGACTCATCAGAAAAGAGTACACGGCTCCAATCTTGCTGTGTCCAATTTAAATGACTGCGTGCGAAATGAAGGCGCGCTGTTCGGTGGGCTCGCGTTAGTTTGGGCCCATTAGCTGGCTTGTGTGGTACCATATCGCGTTCTTTTAACCTTCTCCGAACAGTTCGAGCGCTCACAGATACTCCGTGGAAGTCGCGAAGTTGATTTTGTATCTCAATGGAGGTAAGGTGACGATCTCTGGTCGTCACGATGAATCGATCCTGCCTTTCAGTTGTGACCCGAGATCGTGGCCTTCCTTGGCGACAAACAAAGCCGCTCTCATCTCTAGGTACCTCCGAAAAACATTTCGAACCGCAGATCGACTTAAATTAAGTTGAGCACTCACGTTTCTTTGGCTGTGTCCGGCCTGAATAAGTGCCACAGCTTGGGCGGCGACTTCAGGTGAAGTATCCATAGATTATTGATAGAACCTCACCTTAATGTTAAGAATAAGTAATGTTTGTTGCAAAACCAAAGATATCAATCACTTTTTCAAGAATTAAATCCAAGTAAACCAATAAAACCAAGTTTTCTTAGTATTCGATTGTTTGATATCAACAAACAGGCTTCAAATTGTCTTTTGTTTCTTTAAATTCTGTGTTCGAAATTAAAAAAAAACTATTGAATGAAATTGTGAATGTGCCAGGTTCAAAACTGCATAAAAACTTTTTGCTCGACCTAATATAAAATTTTAGCTAGGACCAAACGAAACTGAAAATACAAGGTGGGCCAATAGATGTGTCCAGAAGTGTATATAAAACTCAAAGGTGACTGACTGACATAGTGATCTATCAACGCACAGCCCAAACCACTGGACGGATCGGGCTGAAATTTGGCATGCAGGTAGATGTTATGACGTAGGCATCCGCTAAGAAAGGATTTTGATCAATTCTACTCCCAAGGGGATAAAATAGGGAATGAAAGTTTGTATGAAACTTTGTCAATTTTAAACCGATCGGGCTGAGACTTTGCATGCAGGTATAAGAAGACTCATAGATGAATGTCATTGTGTATAATACAAGCCTGAGAACAAAAGCTGTAGTCTATACTTCAGTTCTACACCAAAGCGAAGCGAGGGCGGGCCGCTAGTATACATATATTCCCTTTAGTTACTAACATAGCATTTAAGTCAATCATACTAACATATCTATGGACTCTGTCTGAAAATAAACGTTTTTTTGTTTGTTTTAGAGTAAGATATGGACATACTATTGCCAAATTTGGTTTTAAGTTTAGACAATCAAGCCGCTCGTGACTTCGCCCGCGTTACATTTGTTTTTTTTTTGGAATTCTTAATCCAGGTAGTAATATACTACATATGTGCCAAATTTCACTTACATTCGTTCAGCCGTTTTTGCGTGATTAAATAACAAACACACAAACTTTCACATTTATAACATTAGTAGGATATACTACCTTTTTGTGTACGCCAGTCGACGCTCGTACCACGTGACCGGGTCGAGGTAGTGCTCAGTAAAGAAATAGTGGAAAACTGGTTTGAACTCCTTCAAAATAGAATTGAATGCTGCCAATTTTTCTCTGTTAGTTTTCCTCAACTCGTGACAATTTTGAAGTTTCCGACGAGCAGCGAGGCAAGAAATATCCTGTCACAGAAATGTACCACTTTTACTTAAGATCTGAAAGAGAATCTTGAAATCGTTGTGGAAATGATTCGCGTAATTTTCATTCAACAAAATCGTAACCAAAGATAACTTTTCTATAAAACTCTTGTAACGCGACTATTTAGCATCGCCCTTACAGGCATTATTTCTTGGTTCACGATTTCACTCGAGCCATAGTTCGTTTTCGAGAGTCCCACAAGAACCTAACATTTTTCTGAGATATGGAGCACCCTATGTCAAATCCGGGTAATAAGCTATATTATGTGTCAAATTTCAACCAAATCGGTTCTGCATTTTTCGCGTGATTGAGTAACAAACATGCGATCATACAAACATTCACATTCATATTAGTAGGATATAGTGCGTATCAAACTTAAAATCAACTGTGAAGTTAGCATAAGTCGCGGCGCAGGAAACGAAATTTAGGGTGATTTATAGATGCGCGCGAGTTGTCACTAAACCTAAACCTGGTATTGCCGACTCTTTTGGTAGATTTAGTTTTCATAGCTTAAAATATTCACATATTTATGGTTTTTCCTTACAAAATTTTTGTTCTTTTCGTTGTCTTTGTGTCATCTGAGTCCCAAGCACGAATTTTTCACAGCTCCGTAACGTATCGCTTGTGAAAGTCTCTTTAAAAACTAAACAGCACCCCTATCGGACGTAAGAACAAACTAGCTTTTTCCATACAAAATTTGGCGATGACAATACGTTACGGAGCTGTGTTAAAACCCATTGAGTCCAAAATTATAGCCTTCATTTTTTATCCCACTAGCTCTCCGCTTCACCTCCGTATAGTTGCACTCTCTGCTAACTTCACAACCACCACAATGAACCCTCTACTAGCTCCTATTCTGACGATTTGGATGCGACAAAAAGACATGGCCGTTTGTTGTTTTTTTTTTGCTGCCCTTTACGTTCAACCCTATATAAAGGGCTCAGGTATAGTGGGAGTATTTCACAAGGTACAAGGCTGTTCTCTTTATGTAATTCTGTCGCGCTCGAGTAAATCCCAAAATCCGCACTTGGGCTCGCCTACTAATGCTTTAAACGAAAATAAACTGTATATAAATTTGACTTCTACTTTAAGGAGATAATGGTGTCGATTCTGGCATGATTCTCTAAACTTAAAGCTAAATTAAACATCAGTCTCTCCTTTTCATTCTTGAGAATGATATAATGCACTTTTGTCAAATTTGCCAGATGAGATGCCAGAATCGACACCAATGACTTGAACTTTTTCCTTAAAGTAGAGGTTAATAGTAGGGGTACAATAAGTTTGAATCACACATATACTTACCCGCGGTCGGTACCGGGCGTGTGCCCCTTCATTGGCCGATGTTCCTACCAAATATGAGCCCACGGGGATAGTGCCTTCACACCATTCCAACACTCCTGATTGACGGGACAATGGGACCACCTGGACAAAACAATGTTCCGGATGTTAAATTTAAATCAAAAGAAAAAAACGAGCAAGCCTTACAGTAGTCGCGTATGATTTTTGAGTAACATTTGAAACCTCACCTTATATTAGTAAAAAAAAAATAAAACCTACTACAAAAGGAATAAGCCATTTGAACATTGTTTCTAAAATCAAATCAAATAGCGCGCGCTTTCGCAACTTCCTGTTACACACTTCCGTCCCATTTCACGAAATCACTCCCATAAATTGCAGGAAAGCGAGAGGAAAGATGTTACACATTAAAAATATTCATAAACTCTTTTTCAGTATTCTCGCTATTATTACTTCCGGACAGATCTATCGGCCCACTTATTATTTAACTTTCAATGGTCTGTAGCAAAACTATCTGTAAGGTTGAGAAATAATAAACATTGTCATTATATATAATAAAACTAAGTTGATAAAATGTGCGTGCCGATAAAACTTAGAAAGGAGTCCGGACACGATAAAGGGACTTATATAGTGTGATAGCCCTTTATCCCCCCTCGAACAAGAAAGTTCCCTTAAAGGGTGTGTTGTCGAGTATTCGAACTTTAAGAAGGTGTGAGAAAGAAAATATTCCCAAACTTTCTCGAATATCCTAGAGCCTAGTTACCTGAATATATAAGAGCCCGGTGTCGCCCGCCAGAGTTAGTTTGATTTGAACAGCGAAAGTAGCGATTTCAAAACGAAAAGGAAAGAAGTTATCTGTGAGCCTTTATTGTGAAAAATCAAATGTGAGTATTTTTAATAGTGTGTTTAATTAATTCTAATGGTATTTTTCTTTTCTTTTAATTGTAATTTCCTCAAACTTCAAGCAGTCGCGCGACGTTGAATCGATGCCTTCTATATACTTTTGGCCGTAAAGAAAATATCACACGACCGCTTAAAGTTTAAATATCTTTTTTTCTTTATCTCAACGTAGCCCACGTTTACGTTACAATACATTTGTCTATAAAATATTTATTTAATTTATATTTTACAGAATACAATGCCTAGACGTAAAAGAGGAGGAGATCTTGCCAGTTCTGCAGCGAAACGGCGGAAACAAAAACAATATCGAAGAAATGAAACGGAAGAAGAGCGTGAAGCAGGTTTACAAAATCAACGAACCAGAATGAGCACCCTGAGAAGCAGAAAAGCGAAGAAAGAAAAGAAAATAAAAGTATTAAAGAATCGAGAATTTTAAAAGATAATCTAACAAAGGAAGCATTACACTACGAACCGACGAAAAAATATTACAATCATAAATATGTTTTGGAGATTTTCGACAAACACTTTCAGTTATTCCCAAGTCAACACCAGCAGACGAGATCAATGCATGCTTAAAAAAGTCACATCTCTGGCCACAAGCACAAATACTGCAACTAACAAAAAACATGAGAGTTGAATTATCAAAAGATTAAATAACAGCACATTTTGCTAAAATACTTTTATAAATAGGCGAAGGTACATATCCTACTGACCAAACGATCGGCCTCATTGAACTCAAAAGTGATTTCTGTAACATAGCCACTACTGAAAAAAATCTAACGTGAGATTGGGGGATGGGGGAGGGGCTTGAATAAAATCTCACGACATCTCACCAAGGCCCCCCTTGGTGAGATGTCGTGAGATTTTATGAAAGGGAGGGACAGAAAATTCAAAAAAACACCCCACGTAATTTATAGACGCCCCCAAATAAGCTTGTAAGATTGTTTTGAAGATGACACACACATATATGCATCCCTTACCTTATAAGTTCGGATAATAAGTTTATTCCTATTCGTGATAGCGTTCTTCTCCAATAAATTATTCACAATATTGAAGACTTGTTGCATAACAGCATCTTGCCTTGGGTCGTCCTGGCCCTGTTAATGTAAATTCAGAAGAATAGTTACTTTATGAAATATATTTACATTCAGATTGAAGTACATAAAAAAGTTTACGAAGTAATTTCCTGTAAGATTGCATGATAAAAATCAATTTCAAGTTACAAACAAATTAGCTACGAAAATATAATTTTCTTAACACCTCATCATTATCGCAATATCTTTATATTAGAAAAGACACAAAAAAATATTAATTCATGCATACCTTTATCAATAGAATCTTTTTGAATCCGTCAGAACCTTTGCAGTTAATTTTTTTAGGGCAATTGATTCCTCCAACAAGCTCAAAGTAGTCATCGAATGATACGAACGCTGCAAAATATACAATGTTATAAGAGAAACTAAATTTTAGCACACAATAGTTTATCAGAGGCTAGCTAGTCAATGACCATACTGGTTTTTGTTGTGATTTATATGCGACATTAAGGTTAAGTTCTGTATGATTAGGTATATTAACTTAAATTCTCGATAGGGTTCGAAAAGTTAACTTAAACCAATTTCCGCAAAAAGAGTATAGTTAATTATTGGAACATTCTCATCTCCAAAGCTGACTACAAATGACAGCGAGTTAGTAGAATAAATTTTGCGCTCTACCATACTTTAGACTAAAACACACTGTATAAAAATTTGGACTTCTACTTTATAAAGATTTTTTGCCTTGGCCTTTTTGAGCGAAATTCGTTGGCATTTAATTTATGTATTATATGGGACATAGTGCGGATGGCTCGAAAAGAAAAGAAGATATTGGCTTGAAGTTTTCCTAATAATGCTATGTAATTCTATGACTATCAAGTCGAAATGCATGCGAATTTCGCTCAAAAAGGCCAAGGTTTATATACATACTGCTTATGTTGCTGTAGTCACAATCACTTCGTATAGGTAGAGTCACGGTAGGAATGGGTATAGCATCCAAGTAGAACAGTTTGTGTATGTTCTCTGCTGATGGTATTTTTTGTTTCTGTTCTTTGGCGGTGGGATTATAGTTGGCAAAACTTATTGTCGCTGAAACAAATTAAGCATTAATGATTGTATCTTGACCAACCTGAAATAACATGAAGCTATGTGGGTTTTTTAATAATTATATTGTTGAGGGTAAATATTGAAAAACATCGTTAACGGAACATGTTTGTATGGAAACAGAAAATGGCAATATTCTATCCAATAGGGAAGGCCTGTGGCCCAGCACCAATGATATTAAATACAATAGATATGTCGTGATCATATCGTAGATTTGCTCACTTCATGAAATGCTCGAGAATTTCATGAAATGGTCACATTTCATGATGTGGCCAACTTAATTTGACCAGATCATTAAATCGTCAACATTTAACGATTTGGTCATCCACATTTGGCCGGATAGTATAATTAGGGTGTCCATAAAATATTTATTAAAAATCCAGAATATGTAAGAACTTGTTTATTGTTATTTAAGTCCGAATGACATAAACAAATTTAATCAAAATTTTGTAACAAAATAAACAAATTAAAGTTTTTTTTTCCTAAATTAATCATCAAACATGTCAAGAACTTACACATTTATATTTAGAAAACTATCAAATATTTAGAAATAATAAGGTACTCTGCTACATATTACAATAGTAGACTTAACTGTTCTTCCAGGGCCCAAACGGTAATACTTCACACTAGGTTAGGTTAGGTTAGTGTTGTGACCATGACGCGCGAGCCGAGCGAGCAAAGAGAGCGTGCCGCGGCAGCGGCCGGCGAAGCGTCAGAAAAAAAACTCTATTAAAAGAGACCTTTTCTACAAAAGAAATTCAAGTATCACCTCTTAGGCCTTGGAAGTACAGTTTTACAGTATATCTTTGTACGGCATTGATTCTCATCCGCACTTTGTACCACAACCGCAGTTTCCAAAATGTCATATTTTGACAGCCAGTAATAGTCCATAGATTTCTTTTGCGTAGTCACCCTACTCTCCTTAATTTATTTCGTCGCAAAACCCTTTTGTTAACTTTCTTTCTTATTAAATAACGAATTATGCACTTTTTCACTGCGAGAAACAACATTGTCGGCAGCGGCCGCCATATAAATGTATTAACAAAGCGCTTGCAGCGCCTCTACCGGTAATTAATGTAACTACTTTACAATATGATCAAATAATTTTTGCCATTTCATGAAGTAGCCACGCGTTTAGTTGGCCATATCGTGAAACGATTTCTCATCATTGATCTGCCCAAACCACATCATGATGTGGCCAATAGATAGTGAAACATTTCATGAAATGCGACCATTTCATGAAATTCTCGAGCATTTCATGTAGTGATCAAATCTACGATATGGCCACGACAGATACACCACGTGCGCTCAAAATGTGTCCCAATCAAGAAGTGCTTGAACACGACTCAAGTACTTCTTCGTTCACTTCACAGTACGCGCGAACCGTTGAAAAGTCAATATGCCGTTGAGCTCCGTGAAAAAATGCGAAAAAAATAGTTATAGTATATAAAATTTCGTTTTTTCGACAGGTATCTAATCAATGTTTATTAATTTAACGAATTTGAAGTAAATTTTGATTTCATACTTACTATAAAATTCAAATGCATGGTCGGTAATATAGCCGTCGCTTTTCCTCGCGTTCCGTACTTGCTATATTGCTAACAGCGCATTCAGAATTACGCGTAGAATCAAAGAAATAAGGTCTATATTCTTCCGCATATAGCAATAAGTCGTAAAATTTTACGAGCTTACATTACGGACTGTCGTAACTCTTTGACGCATGCGTTTTAATTAAGACCTTATACAGTATACTTTAAAGGTGATTTTCAATGCCGTAACTTTGAAAATCTGGGGTTAAAGGAAACAACTTTTCAGATTTGGTTTTTATTTTTAATCATTCAACTCCAGGTATTTAAATCAAAAGGTTTTTTTCCACTAAACAATTTATGTTACTAAGTTTATTCTCCTCATATATGTATGTAGGAATAAAGGAGAGACGGTTTGTGACGATTTCTGGTCTGGGTTAGTGATGTGTGTATAAACTTAAATAGTCAATCATGAATTAATGTTAACAAAGCTAGGCTTAAATTTATTTTTACATAAGGTTACGTTAGCTACGTTTAAATCTATATAGTTCGGCGGTCTCCAGAGATTCACAATTGAATAATAGGTAATTAACATCCTGAGAGAGCACTCGCCACTGAATCCGTTCCGTACACGATTCTCGCTCGAAAAGGTTAATTGTCATTCAAAATATAACCAAGTTTCGGTGACTACAAACAACAAACAAATAAATAATGGGAAGGTACGCTCCTGAGAGAGCACTTGCCACTAGATCCCGAGCGATCCCGAGCGAGCATCGAGTCCCGCACGGAACTCGATGCTCGCTCGAAAATGTTGATTCTCACCCAAAATAAAAAACTCCGTTTGGGGAGTTAAAAGATAAACTGGAGGCGTGCAGGGAACTCGGGAAACAATTCACGCGGGCCCATATTATATCTAAATATCAGGATAAATCACTTATTTAAATATGAAAGTAACATCGACGAGTTCGCCAAAGAGGTAAGTGAGTAGTTACATCGACAAATTTGATGAGAACTAAGAACGGTTATATCTTTAAACAGGAAATTTGCAAATTAAGAGAATTTCGTTAATCTCGAAATTGATCGATTAAAAATGTAAACTCTTATTAGTGAAAATTAATACCGACTGGCTGTTACGCCGCTCGTGCGCCGCTGCTCCGTCCGACAAATATTGTTTTTATATTTTCCCCTTTTGGGCAGGCAAAGGCAACAAGGACCATACGGCCTTGTTGCTAATATTTTTTTTTCTGGTCTTTTGGACATAATTTATATTTATAGTAAAGATAAAATTTTAGAGGTTACAATGCCCATAAATAATGCCTTATATTGTTTAGACTACGCGATCATTTTACGGAGCTCCGTGGATCGTCCAATGTACCTTGTGGACAGGTTTCGGGCATGCTTTTGTTCGTGTTAGTGTACCTAGGGTATTTAATATAGTTGCCCAGAATTAACCGCTATGCCACGGAGACATACATAAAAAAAACGAGCGAGTCTTACAGTAGTCGCGTTTGATGTGTAACATTTGAAACCTCACCTTATATTAGTAAAAAAAGAAATAAAACCTACTAAAAAAGGAATAAGCCATTTGAACATTATGTTCTAAAATCAAATCAAATTGCAGGAAAGCGAGAGGAAAGATGTTACACATCAAAAAAGTTTAATACTAAACAAAAATCTCATGTTTCATTGCGTTTAAAATACTAATTTCTGTTAGTATTTCTATACGGTACATAAATTAAAATCTTGGCAGAGTCTGACAAGTGAGTCGTGGCACAAGAATTATTACGAATGGCAACACTGTTAACTGTAAAAAATATATGTCATTTTAAATTATCATAACCTCTACGTCTTGCTGTGGTGTGATATTTATACGTTTTTTGGTTTGAAAAATGTCGAAACCTATTAAAAGCAGTGTTCGGAGTTTGTTATACAGTATGATAAACAAGTATGAACAAAGAAAAACTGAAACAAGCCGACGTGTGGAGGAAAAAATACGTCTTTTGGACAAAATTGTTTCGTCTGCAAGTAAGTATAGCCATCACATTTTGATACTTATATTGTAATATTAAAAAATAAGCTTTTGAAATGGACAGACCGAAATCAATTAAAAAAGAATATTCGGGCGCCTGGACTGTACCATCATTATTAGCCGGGAGAACATTGGAATATTAATCACAAAGGGGGCTTAATGCAAATCCATATTCATTCTGGGTTGTCAATTTTTTGAAATTTTAAGTCCAAAAGGGTTAAATCTAAATTTTGAAACTAAGGCTAAGATGCTACCAAAAATAAAGTGAGAATTTACCTTATATTAGGGTTCGGGTACGACAATGAATTTGGACATTACCGACTTTGCTGCATCTAATCTGGGAAGTGTATATGTCTGGTGTTGCAAATGTTTAAGGGATGGCCGTTTTTACATCCCGTGGGTTCACCTCCACATCACGGGAAACATCGTAATTTGAATAAGATATCCAAATAAAAATCCATATAAAAAAATGGTTGCCTGTAATGTCGGTTTTACGGGCGAAGATTTTACGTGACAACGTCTTTTTCTCGGTAGAATATTTATTGATATGAATATAATTAAATTGCACAATAGGAACAAGGAATTAAATGAAAATAAGAATTGCACAAATTTTAACTATAGAAATATATTTTGTTTACTAAAACATTGTACATGTAAACTTAAACTTAACACGAGAGACTCATCGTAACGTTACCGAGCGTTACACTTTTTCATAAGTGACTCCCAGCCGCAACCTAATTTAAGACGTTGTCACGTCAAAAAACGCTTTTCGCTGAAAACAAACATTCCTCAGATTAGCACATGGCTCACAACAAAGGAAAAAATGTAAATCTAAGGAAATCTCTAAGGTTCTTACCGTTTTTTCAATCAAATTAAGTTTAAAGTATGGTCATCGCCATTTTGTATGAATGATGTAAAATGTTTCATCTGAAAACGAAATGAATCCTAATGTAAATCATTGAAATATATGAATTAAAACACTTTTCGAATTTGGAAAAACACTTACCATTAAAAAATAATAATATTAGTATGAATTACTTTGTAATTCATTCAGATTAGCCGCGAGGCATTTCGCTCTCGGTAAAATCGCGACGTGAAGTGAAGTGACAGTAGTGACATTAGTCTTTTCTCAAATTTGTTTTCTCTCGCCGGTAGGCAAAGAGAACAACGTCCATTCAGCCTACTGCTTGATAAAGTTAGCAACATAATTATCCAAAAGTGCACAGATTACAGAAAATGGGCGCGAGATAAAAACGACCAGAGAGACAACCAAAAAAAAATCTTCTATCTCGCTTTTCGAGCGAAGGAGATCCATGTGACGTTTTTAACACGTTACATTTCACCCTTCCCCGAATAAAGCATCGAGAATCGAGGCTGAAGAAACTACAGCTAAAATTCAAATACTAAAAGCCAAAACGAAATCCGTTGAA